CGCTGCTGACCAATCGCATCGAGCCGAGTTTCACGAGTGATTTTGAGTCATGCGCGATCCGGCCGTTTATATGGCTACAGTTTACATTCCGATTAGCTAATAACACTCAAGGAGCAATAACTCAGTGTAAAGTCTTCTTTTATCACGATCAGAATAAACATATTTTTCAGATTACCACAGAAGTCCAGCGCTTAGTAGCATTTTCTTCACGTATCGTATGTTCTTTTCTACGAGAAACTCCACCGTGTTATAATAATGAAGGTATTGGAGTTCTGGTTTTCATACACACCAACACAATTATCTTTCCTATTATATTCTTCATTACCATTTTATTCTTGTCTTTCATTGTTTTACCGAATAAGTGACTGAGTTGACCCAGTGAACGTGTTCATTGGCCCGATTATCCCCACCATGACCCTTATAACAGTCGCTGCATAGCTCTCCGCTTGCCCCATTTACAGGCTGTCCTGAATCGCTATCCGTTTTCGATTGCCTGAATATCAGTCATTGGACGCGACAACGTGNGAACGAAATGCAACGAAATGAACGCTGAAAGCCTTTGTCAGCGAAAGAAGGCTCCTTTCTATAAACCGGAGCTCTTCGGTGGTCGGGTTCATGCTGTTATAGATCTAAATCGCAATTTATTCATTGGAATTGCAATGCTATCTGATTATGAATTGGTAGCGGAGGCATTCAGACATGAACGTTTATCACTATTTAACATTAAACAATTGTTGTTCATAATGCATCACATTTCAAGGTATCTTATCATCTCTGTTGACCTCGGACTCCACGCGTCACACGGTGATCAAGATGAGCTTCTTGCGTGAAATCCTTAATAAAAGATAAAACTGCCAGAGATTTCAAGAAAGATTCATTTTAAGTCACTAATTAGGATTAAATCACTACATTGAACTAAACTATATGTCGAACTTATCAATTTTAAGTACACATTGGTCTGATCAAATATGACTTCAATGGGATGCTCTGTGACTAGTTGCCTGCTGCCCGTTTTCCGAGATAATTCCGTTACACTGCTTTAAATTTGGAATGAGCTTTCATTCTGTGTTTCAGTCGGTGAGGAATTAACGGCGTTTACGCGAATCAACTTCGTTTGGCGTTCTCCCACGCTGGCTGTATTGGTCCCCCGGTAAGCTGATGAAACACTATTATTTATTGGCCATATCTCTGAAACACATCTATAAATGTAGTGGTATCGTCAGGGTTTAAGTCGCATATAATATCATAGACACCTAGAAGCATGTGAACATTTTACTGCTAAAAGGCGCTCAGACACTCATCACACATTACACAACGAATCTTCAAAAGCCATCTTTATCATCCACAAAGTCAAGACTTCAACTTATATTTGCATGTACCTCTTCATATCGTAATTCTGTTTTGCCATATCTAGGACGTCTACTTATTGACAACCCGGAAGATTTCATAGAATTGCGAAATTTATCGCTACAGTGACACAAAATCCACTGATTTCAGTTTCATTATGTATGATTTTGCTAACTTGAATCCACAACTGTGCTGTAAGCGATGAAAGTTCAACCATCCATGTGGATAAATCTACTACTGGCATGACGCTTCCAAGTTCGGTCACAAATTTGATTTTATTATCGTTTTAGATGGACGAGCTTGTAGACTTTCGCTAATGCACAAATATGTAATTGATAAGACGAACACACTTTTCCAACGGAATAGTATAAATACAATTAAAAATGAATTATTATTGGTGCTGGTAGTGTTTATTGCCGTTATTATTATTATTATTCTATTTTCCATTTGAGCAGCACACGTATCTTCGAAACGTTAAATTCAGCATGATAGGGCTTTCCATCCGCAGTATTCCTGGGATCAATTTTTTCATTGTTCTCCTCTCCAGTATTGAATGCTATATTTCCAATTTCTCATCTATAATGAACGATGTGTCCCGGGAGGTCACATCCTGTATTCAGTTTACTTGCTTGTGTTGGCAATGAAGAGAGAGACATCCAGAACGGTATGTGAATTATCTTTCTTCTTTGCGTTTGGATAAGGTAGCCATTGAAGTTCTATCGTTAGGACCCAATTTTTGCCGTCCCAATCGAAATATTAGACAATTGGATTTAGAGCTACAATTCAAAAATGTTTACAGTCC